TATTTGATATGATATTTCGTATAACTATTATCATCATTTCGTTTGAGAATAATTAAAAGTTATATTTCATATCATCATTTTTTTCTACCTAAAAATTGGTGAAGGGGATAGCAATATAATGACAAGAATAAGAGAATGAAGATTAGAATAAAAACGCGTATAAACAAATTCCAAGTTAGCGAAAGGTCAAATCTAAACTAAATAGTATTGAAATCCGCTATTTATGATCAAGGTAATAATTGATAACACATTTTCGTTTGCATTTGTAGCTCATGTCTAAGAGTTTACATTTAAATCAAATGATTTTCATATAATACAATGGGATAAGAGCAACTAAAAATTCTAAGTTCAAGTTTCATTGTTACCTATTTTATTGAAAATTTACACGATTTCGACATGCACATGAAATGGTGCGTTGAAATAAAAGTTAGACAAATGCGTATAATTCATATCTGATAGTTTAAACTTTTAAAAGAAGTGATTCAAGAACCTTGCATCCAATCTCGAGTATATGCAATTATGTAGTGCATTAATATCAATATTGTCAATATTGGTTTACCAATTTGTGGTTTCTTTCTCAGAAGTATGCATGCCCAACTGCCAAATAAAGTGTAAAACACATGATTTGATAGAGATTTTAGCTATAGAGACTTGCGTCCACGTTGCGAATCAACCAAAAGGACAATGTAACACAATACTTAGGTAAATCAAAGGATTCACCAGCTCCAATCATTTGTCCACGCGAGACAAGAAGAAGAAGTAGAAGAAGCACCTTCATAATTTAAAATCGTGTTGTAAGCAAATGACACCACTTCAAGAATTGCAATTTAAGTCCTCCAAGTTTATACTTACATTACTTGCATAACAACATCTTCCTTTTACTAAGAGTAATATCATTTAGGCCCTGTTTGGTACCGATTAAAATCTAAATTTTAATTTAAATCAAAGTCAACAATTCATTTAAATCACATATTTTATGATTCCACAATTTTTCAATCACATATTCCATTAAGTTCTATCAAAATCTACTAAAAAATTGATTTTAATCTCCACAAAACAGGAGTAAGTATAAGGGGTATTTAACATCAGTTTTGGAATCGTATGTTTAACTACATGTAAAGATTTAATGCACATTTAATATGATAATGTGGTGTTATCTAAACTAATGTTAAACACCACTTATACTATATAATAATATCAATTGAACTCGTAAGTTTGAATCTCTAAAGCATATTTCATTAAACCTCTAAACAATGGTTATTTTTTGCTTATTATTAGGCTTGGCTATATTTGGGTTGCTTTTTCCAAACATATGATAATGGTAAATATATGACTTGACTAACATGTCTTTTCCTTTGGCCCAAATCAGCCATACATTATACATATTAGGGCTGGACAAAACTCTCAAATCGAACCAAAAATTGGACCTGAATCGAATTGAACCGAATCAGATGGTTCTTCTTTAGTTAAATATTCGAATGAATATCTGAGTCGAGAACCGATGGGTTCTGTTCGATCTCGATTCTAGACCAAGAATTGAAAAAACGAATCTCCATTTTTTTTTTATCTTAAATAAGTCAAATTATTTTATTTTTTCTAAATAAATTTGTTAACTAATTAAATTAGTCCAAATTCAAAATATAATTTTTATATTTCTAATTTCCAGCCCAGTCCTAGCTTAATCAAAATAACCTAAATTTTACCCAAATTTCTTATTCTACTGTAGTGCCATTTTGACGTTTTGGAGAAATAGAATTGGAAGCTTGGCATCCCTATATTCATTATTGTGAGCTCATTATCTTCCTCTTCCTATGATTTAACAGTCAAATTTATGAAAAAAAACTCAACAAAGAGATGTGTAAAAGATACCACGGGATTGGACTATGTTATTTTGTAAAAAGTTAAGATTGAACATGTCATTAATTAAATTAATGTAACATTGTTGTAAATATTAAAAATTTTAAGGAATCAAATGGAACCGAACCGAACGAATCAAATCGAACTGCACCTGAATGATTCCATAATTAAATTTGGACTCGATGGTTCCATTTACTAAAGATCCGAAAATTGGGGTTTAATTCGGTTCTCTTTATAATCGAACTAAAACGGATGACATCCAGCCCTAATACATATGACAAAACTTCCATTAATTGTTAATGTTATATGACAAAACTTCCATTAATTGTTAATGTTAGGCATGCAAATGAGGTGTATCCCATTTTCAATCTTCGACATTTTTCTCAACTAATATTTTGAAAATTAATTATTTCAAAGAATTATACAATCTATTCCTTGTGATTCGAATCAGAACTTTACTCCAGTTGTCTTTAGGTTTCGAAGGAGTTGAATGAATCGATCGAGGTTAAATGTGGTTCTCAATTAAAAAAAATAAAATGAAATTAATGTTAAACTCTTGAGTCTAAGATCCTCTTTCAAACTTGGAACGGACGCTTGAACAGCAATCAAGAAAATTGTTGGCCCCATAATACCTACGAAGTTCTAGAAATTATGTAGTAAATAGATTACCGAAGATTACGCCGACTGACCTAATTCTAATTTTTAATAGAGAAGTAGAATAGTCAAACATTATATACCAATAGAGTTCTAATTCGTTTTAAAGTTGAACATTCAACTTAATAATATCTTATTCTCCCACACAACCAAAAATAAGTAAAAATAAAATTTCTTATTCTTTCACTAATTTCCAAGGGCCCACCGTAAATTTTCAACCAGGCATTTCATCAACGTTTATCAAAATCTGCTAAAAATTTTATTTTAATCTCTATCAAACAGAGGCTTAATATAACACATTTAATTGCACTTAACATTCTTAATCTTTACCAATTGTAATGCTTATGTCCCTAACTTTTTTCATCGAATTCTTATATTCAACATTTTATTACTTAACGTACCTTGTCTTTGATGATGATTTTTATCAAAATATTTCTATTTGTATACTTTGAAATGAGAAAAAAAAAAAATAATAATACTTTGTTGCACTTACGATGGAAAAATAAGTCGTTTCCTACCCTCCAACGGACTTATTGAACAAATTATTATTAGAGCTGATATTTAATAGTTAATGAAATGTTGAAGATAAAAATACGACGAATAAAATGTGGTGTAAATAATAAAATATGTAGTGTTAATATACTTGTTGCGTAAATGTGAATTTGGAAATTAGTTTAAGGCCACTATACATTAATGCATTGAGATTCCAAGTGCACATGAAACCAGGGAATCAAATAGCTGGCTCAGCTTTGACGAAAATTTTGTTGTGAATAATTTTCAATTGGGCACCTGCAAAAGTTAAGATGATGCATTGATACATATACGTATATAGTCAAAAATTGGAAAGTGAAATGAATATTAGGCAAATATTAGAACCCATTCTCGTTGAAAATTTATTCAGTATGGGGAATCCAGAATGTTCATACATTCAGTTGATTATTCTTTAATTTTGTATCATCTTGGATTCACGGTGCTAATATAAAAAGTTATGCTTGACGTACAAGGGCACTGATGTACAGGGCCCTCGTAGCTGTGTACATATATCGTTATCTTAATGTAAATTGCTTTTTCATCAAAACTCGAATGTAATACCTTTAAATGTATTTTGAATGTATTGAACAATAAATCAGAGGGTCTACTGTCGCCTAAACTAATGATGATCATAAAAAATGACGAATATAGCAATTTTGTTTTTATCTCTAATTTAAATAGTTAGTTGCGATATGAAAATTTTCCTTTCAAATAATTTAGATAGTATTAGATATTGTTTTATTCACGTTCGACTAAACGAATTTATATAGTTCTATCTTAAAAATGTTAACTTCATTTGACAAGTAACTCAAATTCCTTACAAGTCATAACAGAGTTATATATCTCATGTCTAATAGATGTGATTTTGCTTATATTTTCTAAACATTTTCTCCTCGAGGGAAGTACCACATCACCATCTCAGCCTCAATTTAGCGATAACTTATCCTCTACCCATTCTCAAATCAAGAAGGATCGTACACTCAATGAAGTCCTAACTTTTATGATATTTTGGTTTTACATGGAAACAACCACCTTACGCCAAACCAAAAGAAAATTTCGACCATTGTGACCCAACTCGGTGTCCTCCACTTTTGTTCAGCCACAATTGTGGATTCATTTTTGCGTTAAGTTCGGATCTTAATTTTATAATCACTTTTCTATTTTAAAATATTAAGTCATTAGATGTAGTAGCTCATTCTCTTTACAATGACGTGAAACCTTTTGACACTTTCTCGACATATACCCGATGAGATGAGATGAGATTAGATGAGATGAGATGAGATTCTGCTTCTAAATGACTAGGGTTTCAATTCAAACCTGTCACTATTATTTGGTGCATTCAAACTTCCTATACAATCACATCTGGTTCTCTTTGGTGGTTCAGTTTGACTGGTACATATCTAGGATAATTACAAAATGGCCCAAGAAAAAGTAGTTCCTTATTTAAATTATTCTATATTTGCAAATCCCTTTGCCATCTCCCCCACCCACAATAGAAAGGGATAAGGTCCCAATGTCTGGTCATTTCTTGTGTTTGTAGTATTGGTATTCTCTTCTAATTCCCCATTTCACTCACCCCACCATCTAAAGATTTCTCTTGCATTGAGCATTCCCTTTTGTTTTCCCATGTGTTTGTGTCCCATATGTACTGCAAATTTACAAGCTAAGTCACCCTCAACACCCCACCTTTCTCCCATCATGCACGCAGGACACATTCTCGTTATCCTATACCCATCTCTCTCTATTTGGAGCTTTCCTCTTTTTCGATTCGAGATAGATAAATAGACACATCCCAATTGCGCTGATCTGGGAGTTGAGGGTTCGGAGACCAAGAGGAGAGTTATTTGTATCGAGCATTCTACCTTCAGCTAGATCCAAGGGAAGGTCTAGAATCTGTTCTAATATAGAAGTTCTTTTTTCTGCTTTTTTTCCCACAAAAATTGATTTCTTGATTTTTCATGAAAGGTGCTGAAATTATTATCCCTCCTTTGTTTATATGCCCCATAAGTCTAGATTTGTTCAAAGATCCAGTCACTCTGTGCACAGGCCAAACCTATGATCGGTCCAGCATAGAAAAATGGCTAGCAGCTGGGAACCCAACATGTCCAGTCACAATGCAGAAACTCCATGATCCTTCTATAATACCAAATCACACTCTTCGACATTTGATCGATCAATGGCTTAATTCGGGTATCCAAATCGATCCTGTTTACCTTAAAATAGTCGAATGTGATAGTTCGATTGCTGCAATCAAGCACAATCTTGAGTCAAATGAATCTGCATTGGAGAATAAGCTTGAAATAGTCGAGATTATCCACGCTTTGGCAGATGAGCTACCACTGCAGAATTCTTGTTTGATACAATTAGACTTCTTCTGTTTATTGTTAGAAGTGGTTTTCAGAAATTCAGAAGGTTTACATTTTCAAGAAAATTTGAGATTTGTAGAAAAAACACTTATTTGTGCTCTTAAGTTGTTGCCATTTAGTGACTTGGGGGCTATAAACATGCTCAAAGAGGAGTCTAAATTTGCTTATTTTGTTTTACTGTTTGAAAAGGGCAACATGGCTATCAAGAAAAGCTTGTGTCATTTGGTTGAGGCAATTGCAAAAGGTTTAGAGACAAAAGAACTTTGCATTAAGCTTGGAAAATCAGCCAATCTTTTGCAAGAAATAATTCATCTTGTTCATAACAATTCCGAGGCTGCTGAAGCCGGGATCAAGGCCATATCAGCTTTATCTTCAACAGAATCCAATCGCGAAAAGCTAGTAAAAGAAGGTGCAGTCAAAGAACTCGTGGAACATATTTCAAGGTCCAAAAAAGGCGAAAGAAGCTTAGCGCCGATGGCAGTGTCCATAATCGAGAATCTTTTAACCATAGAGTGCGCAAAACAGGCGATTATCAATCACCCCTCCGGTGTAAATGCATTAGTCAAGTTGGTTTTCAGAGTATCAGATCATGAAGGAAGTGAGAGTGCTGTAAATTCATTACTAATTATATGTTTTGATTCGAAAACTGCTAGGGAAGAAGCCATTTCTAGTGGGGTTTTAACTCAGTTGCTGTTGCTTCTTCAAAGCCAATGCAGTGGGAGGACTAAAACTAAGGCAAGAATGTTTCTAAAGTTGCTTAGATCAAAGTGGAATGAAGACTCAAAACATGCCTTGTAACAAGTCAATGTTGTATTTGATAAGCTCGAATAGACTAGATTATACTCGACACGATTAATGAAAAAAAAAACACAAAAATTGGAATCTTGACTATTTTTTAGTTTACTTCGACTTCTCTATGTACCGGACATGTCTTAAATGTTTTCCTAGGTAGTATTTGTAGTCATTTGCTATCTTCGAATTGATGAGCTTTTATCAAAATGACCTGTTGAACGTGAGTTTATAATTCAATAAATTTAGAGTCAATGAATTGCGGTAAAATACTTACTTTTTTCTGTAGACGGTGATATTAAAGTCTTAGCTTAAACGAGTGTTAGATCGACAATTGTACACCCATTTTCCCATAAGTGGAGATATATCTAGTTTGGAAGGTTGAATTAGGTTTGTCCTATAATTTTGTTTATTAATTTCCACAAAAAGTGGAATACTATTGCTTAAACAATTCAATCGGAGAAAACCAACAAAGGGTTTGGTTTACAAGTGATATTATAAAAATTAAGGTGGACGAAACATGTATAATGACAAGTACATTGTACAAACCGCAGGTGAAGAAAATGGAGACGATGATGTGACAGCTTGAGAAAGTCCAACTTAGCATCATCTATATTAACTATTACTTAATTGAGCGTAATTAAGATATTAAAACATGCAAAAGTGATGTTTAAGTACCCACATAATAATTACTTACTCGACATAAAGTATTATTGTTCGAAAATTTGCACTTTTCGTCTTCATTCTTTGTAAAATTTAATAAATCTAATCTCAACCTTTTTTTTTAGCATAATTCATTCTCAACTTTTCAATTATGTAGCAATATCCGCAATTCATTCCATTTTGACTATTAAATGATAGATTTGCCATTCCGTTTAAATAAATAAAAATAAAAGAAAGCAATAAAATATCAAAAAAAAAAAATTACAAATAAACTCTCAAAAGTTTTCAAAAAGTACAAATAAATCTCACTTAAGAATCAGATATATATTAAAAAATAAAAAATAATTTGAAAATTTTCATTTTCCCCAACTAAGCTCACCTTCTCACCCACCTAATCCTCATTTTCAAAAAAGTGCAAATGAGATTTGGAGATGGTGGGGATTATTAGGATGGTGGATGGGTGGGTGAGCTTGGATGTGAAAAATGAAAATTTTTGAACTTTTATTTGTTATTAACATAAACTTAATTGTTTTAAGTGAAATTTATTTGTAATTTTTGAAAATTTATGGGATTGTGTTTGCAATTTTTCTTATTTTTTGTTGTTTTAATGCTCATTTATTATTATTATTATTTAAAGAGAAGGGTGGATCCGTCGTTTAATGGTCAAATGGAGGGAATGTCGAGCATAATTGAAAGGTTGGGGATGGATTATTCTCAAAACAATATCAAGGGTAAAATTGTTATATTTCACAAAGATTAAGAACAAATGCTGCAAATTTTTCTTTATTGTACTATCATGTAAAATAGGTCAGATATTCTTTAGAGCCTTCCATGAATTATCCAAATTGTTTGTGCTTTTTTTTTTTCATTTTTTTTTTTTTTTGATCAAATTAAAAGTCTCAGTATAGTTGTAGTTCAACACTCAACGCATAATAGGCACTGCCTACACGCAACTTAATAGGAAAAGCAATGTCATATGCAAGTTTGTCCATGTGGTCGACTTGTGTCAGACTAGACTAGACTAGGCTGTAGATGATCACAACCCGCATAATGATAAATTTTTCTATCATGTTCGATGTATCAATCATATGTACATGGCTCACAAATTGAAGGTAAGATAGATGTTTAGGTCGATTTATTAATCCTACACAAATCCTATTTATGGATCTTCTGCTCGGACAAGAATTGAGTCAAATGTTTTTTGGTTGATAAGATGGTAAGATTAGGACCTTCTTGAAGGCAGCAGGAATCCAACTCTAGATTTGCAGTCCATTTTCTGCATCATTTAAAGTAAGCAAGAAAATAGAATTATGGATTCCAGATGGGATAATGGCTTGTGGATGTTGGGTGAGTTTCAACTTTCAACGTTACAGCCACCACACTCATCCCATTTAATTTTCAAGAAAATTATATATATATATATACACATTATTAGTAGTTTCTTTTAATAGGTTTTGTTAAAAAGATATTTACTTAAGTCAAGTTTTTGGAAAATTATAAATTATATAAATTAAGTTGAAACATAATCACTTTCCTTTTTTCTACACTAGTTGTAGTCAATGTGCAGTGCACGTTATTCTTTATATTCCGTTAAAGTCTCGTAAAAAATATTATTTTTTCTTCGTTATTCTTCTCTCACAGCCTCAAAAACCCAAACACGCAATGGTTATATTCCTCTCTTCCCACTCTATGTTTCCTTATCCTCACCGTCATCTTTTTACTTTTTTGAGCGTCCAAGATTGAAAAAAATTTCACATGAACCTCATGCTCTTATCTTGATATCATGATGAAGTATATGAATCTCGCTATTGTTTTGCAACCCTTTCTCCAATAGGAAGAGAACCCTCCTCCACAAAATATTTTTGCATGTTACCCATCCTTCGTAGATATAAAGTAGATGGCAATTTACCCCTTCGGGGGTAGCTGAGTTGGTGGAGCAGGTGAACGCGGAAATCAAAGGTCACGAGTTCGAATTCCCTTCCAACACTTCCTCAGTCGAACCCGTCGCACCGGGCTTGTCTAGTGCGGTTTACCTCTCCTGAGTGGTTTGCAGGCTACTGCACATGGAGCGAGATTTACCTAGTGTGCACTCACAATGGTCGGGCCACCTCCCCTTCGAGGTGGTCGGGGATTTGCGGGCTGGTAGCGGATGCTGGTTCCTACGTCAATAAAAAAAAAGGTAGATGGCAATTTATATTAATATAAGAACCTTTCATATAAACCTTAATAAAACCATGTTCATGTACGTTCTTCTTCCATTGATACCTGATTTTGGTTATGTTGTGATGCCATTAGAAGTGTGTGTACATACATGTACACATCAGCTTTAGACCTAATTACCGGCACATTGTCCATAATTATTTCGTGTTAGAGCTGGTAGGCATAACCTTTTAGACTATACAAAGATAAACACAAGATCGGCTATCAAAATTTAAAATTTGAAGTCAAAAGTAAAGATCCGCCTACCCAACCCTCTATAGTCCATATTTTCGGCACGCCAATAAGCTCAAGTCAAAAAACATGCATAAAAAGCTTTGGATTATCTCAAAATTATGGATCTAAAATTCCTCATCTTGAGGTAGGGATAGGCGATGGTCGTATTGAGTTGAGCGACTCAGCTCTATGGATGAGCGAAGCTCAGTTCCTATTCACAAAGTAGGCTCGATTCAATCCTTTGATTCATGAGTCTAGTCGAACCATCCACGAGTCAATGACCCACTCTTTTTTAGAAAAAAAAATTGAGTTGGCCCACAAGCCGAGCCGAACCATTAAAACGAAATGGTGTCAAGCTCAGACTGTAGCTCGTATAAAAATGAGCTCGTGCCATTCATAGGTCAAGCCGGGACAAGACAAGTTTGCTAGTGTCTTGACCAGTTTGTCACCCCTATTTTGAGGTGCCTTGTAATAAGGAACATCAGAATTTAATTTAACATAGTATATTTCTTGTCCTCATAGATGTTCAAATAAAGTTGGAACTCATATTATCTTTCTTTTGGCTGAACGCAAACAATGTGAGGGAAATGTTCTCTTGTTTGTCTTTTGCCTTTATATTTCTTCACTGAAAGTGAATATCAATAATGCTCCACCTTGAAAGATGAGCAAATTGCACACTTTTATGGTCCATTCTGAATGAGCATTGGCATGCTAAGGAAATATAACTTTTAAAAGTTAAATTTGTGCACCCGAGCACAATTTGATGAATTTTTATTAGTAAATAAATTATTTTTGAAGAAGTTTTTTCAATTATAATATATAACAAGATGAATCATCTTTACTGTCATAAGATTACCATACGATCAGGGGCGAAGCCATGAATTAATGGTATGGGAGGCAAAATTTTACATATAACAAGAAAAATCGTAATATAACGTGACCTATTACAATTGTATCCAACGATATTTTATAACATAAAATTCATATATAATAGAATCTAGATCTAAATT